ATAGAAGGCTAGGAATCTTCTTTATCTGGTTGAGAAAACCAAGGATTAGCAAGGGAGAAGAAAATGCCAAGCAGCAATATTCTGGTTTACCTTAAAACTCTGCTTACATTGTTGAATTAAATGAATCTCTGGTAGATATTTTATCCAACTTCTGGGGCATGATGACAAGTGGCAGACTTCAGTAGTAATTCAGAGACCAAGGATTGTCTCAGGACACAAGTAGGGCAGGTGGAAACAAACAAACAAACACACACACACACACAAAAGACAGGTAGCACAACTTAGACTATATCCAAGGGGTTAGAACACGTAGTATACTGTCTGAAGTAGTTTGGAGGAAAGATGGGAGGAATGACCAAAGTGAAGAATATGGAGACTCTCTGAAGAATAATGGTTCAGTACTGACTAGAGGTTGGTGAAGGAAGAAAAGAATAAGCAAGGGATTTGGTTAGAACTAAACAAAGTATGGATGGGGTTTGTCTCCGCATAATCCATTTTGCCTTCTATTCTCCCCCTCACTCCACATCCCCACACTCTATTAGCAACCATCATTTGATTTGAAAAACAATTTATTTATTTTAATTTTTTTTTTAGGTTTATGGCATATAGTTTAGGTAAACACACATCCAAGGAGAAAGGAGAAGGGGAAATGGAGGTGTCAGAAGCAAAGCTGAGTGATAGTGAAAAACAATTTAAATTGGTTTCATAGAACCAAAGTCAGAAGATTTTAAAAGCCGGATCAAATGGAAATTAACTTCATCTGGCTCTTAATAATAGTCACAGAAATGAATTTCTTTTCTCTCTCCTTTTTTTTGGATCTCTTCTCAAGTTTCTGGGGATTGAACTCAGGGCTCTATGGTTGAAGGCAAGTGCTCTATGACAGCTACATTGCCAGCCTTAATGGATTGTTTTTAAGTGTTCTGCATATGTGAAAATGGGAGGCCTTGCTGAAAATTTGTAGAGGTAAATTTTTTCAAGTAAGAATAAGATTCATGATAATATGGTATTATATATATATGTATATATATATATATATGTTATATATATATATATATATAAATGATAGTAATACTCTTTGACCTCAAAATATTTTTTTGATATCAGCAAAAAAAAAGAAAAAGAAAAAAACAAAACCCAAAACAAAAAAACAATTGGAGGTAACCTAAATATCCAATAGTAATGTATTACTGAAATATTTTTTATATACATGTTGATAATAATTATATGTGGTTTTAAAATCATGTTTTAGATAAGTATTTCTAAATGAGGAAATACTTATTGTTTATTAGAAATTGATAAAAAATGCTGTGTGTGGAAAGATATCAAATTTAATAGTGAATATAACATGGATAAAAGTTATAAGAATACACACCCAAATTTTTTATGATGGGAATGTAGATGTTTTGAAGTAATTTCTAAAATGTGTTTATCTACAATAAATATAAATGAAAAAAGAAAATTTCCCAAGTAGTAAGAGAAATAATAACAAGAGGAAGTTTTTAACAGAAAGACTAATGTTTAAATTAAGAGCTAAAGAATTTAGATATAACGTTTCTCACAAATACGTATATATTTATATGTAGATTTTTTAGTCATATCTTTTTACTAGTAGTTGGATTTTTAAAAATATATTTTCTTGTTTTTCCCAAAGATGTATTCCTCTGTCTTTTCAGTCCCCAAATGCTGATTTTGAATGTTTTGAATATTTTTCAGAGTACCAAGTTGTTGGTTAATTCAAGTGGAGGAATATATAACTCATGACCATCTTTCTTTTCCGTTAACATCAGCTTTTACCATATGATTTCCTTTTATCACTTTGGTCAAGAGCAGGGGTGGAACTTTTTGAGTTGGAGTGTCATTTAGAAGTAATTCATTTCTGCTTTTTGTCTTACTGTCTCTAAGGGATCCAGAACTGAAAAGGCCTACTTATTCCTCATTTTTGGTTCTGTTGCCTCATCTGCATCACTACATGGCACAAATACAGGTAACATCTGCCTTTATTTCCTCAGAGCTTTGTACTTTATCCCACTTATTCTAGAGATATGGTATGTAATTACAAATGGCTGGACATGAGATTGAGATTGGTAGGCTAGTATTTATTGATTGCATTAGAATTGCCTTAACTCTGAATGATATGAAAACTGAAGTTTACCATTTTCTCTTTCTCAATATGCTATGAGTTTTGCTCTTTGCTATCAAAATAAAGGAAGAGGGATTTGGGAAGTTTTTTTTATTTTAATTTGGGTCTAATGATTTAAATATTATCCATCTTGAAGAATTTAAAGAAAGATCTTTTTTCTTAGGAAACTAGAGGAAACATGAATAATTCAATTTAGAAAAATTTGTACATTAAAAAACAGAAAAGAATACAGTTACATGTGCAATTTTTTGTATTTGCTCTTTCATGGATGTAATCTTGTTGAACTGATTAAGATGCAAAGTAAATTTTAAAAATTTACTACTTATTTCTATATTGATATCCATTACTAGATTGAATCTTTTACTCATGTTAACTAATGAATGCCTATTGACAAATTTTATTTTACATAGACTCGTTTCTGTCATCGTCACACACTAGAAAATTATTCAGAAAATCTTCATGTACATGAAATTATTTGGGATTGAAAATGCAGGTGTTTGGGCTTCAACCCAAGAGATTTTTATTTATTACATTTTGTACAGGGCACTGGAATCTAAAACAGTTTGCAATATTAATCCTTGAATAATTATTTTGCTGATAGTGTCTGCAATATACTTGGAGAAACACTGGTATAGTCATGCAATATAAGTATTTTTTATATGTATGCCAGATCATGTGTAAGTTTTTTATGTATATTAAGCAGGTCCTAAAGCTAGATAAATTTTATTTTTATTCTAATTTGTTACCTATGGCTGCAGAATGTATTACATTTCATATTACACATAGAGGACATTTTTTCATATTTCTGATTGTATACAAGGCATATTCATACCATTCTTGTCTTCTTACAAGAACGTGGAAGTTTTTAAAAAGCAAAGGTATTTTTATTTTTCAGAATGCTTTGAATTAACAGTTTAAAAGTGCTTTCAGAATACTTTGATTTGACAGTTTTATTTGAATTGACAATTTATAAGTGTTTTGGTGGTTTGAGGTGGAAACAATTTGGCCTAACATTTGCATATGTATATTGAACATTTTAAGCAAAATTGGCTGGGCCAATAGGAGCATAATCTATTCATGGATTTTTCTCTTTATATTTTTTAATAACCCTGACAGTGATTAACTAGGTGCATAAATGACTTAAACAGAATTTTTATTTTAAATTTGTTTATTTATTTATTTTACAGTAGAATGCATTTTGACACATAGTACACAAATGGAGCACAACTTCTCATTCTTCTGGCTGTACATGGTTCAGAGTCACTCCAGTAATGTAATCATACATAGATTATTACACTATGTATATAGGGTATATAAGACATATATACTTATGTAATAGGGTAATAATGTCTCTTTCTACTGTCCTTTCCATCCCCACCACCTCACCCCTCCCCTCACTTCCTCTATACAAACCAAAGTTCCTTCATTCTTCCCTATCCCCCCACCCCACTCTGGATCAACATCCACTTATCAGAGAAAACATTCGGCTTTTGTTTTTTTGGTATTGGCTTATTTCACTTAGCATGATAAGTTCCATCCATTTACCTGCCAATGCCATAATTTCATTCTTCTTTAACTAATATTCCATTGTGTATATGTAATACATTTTCTTTATCCATTCATCTGTTGAAAGACATCTAGGTTTGTTCCGTAGTTTAGCTATTGTGAATTGAGCTGCTGTAAATGTGGCTGCGTCACTGTGGTATGCTGATTTTAAGTCCTTTGGGTATAAACGGAAGAGTGGGATAGCTGAGTTAAATGGTGGATTCATTTCAAGTTTTCTGAGAAATCTTCATACTGCTTTCCATAGTGATTGCATTAATTTGCAGTCCCACCAACAATGTATGAGTGTACCTTTTCCCCCACATCCTTGCCAACACTTATTATTGCTTATATTTTTGATAATTGCCATTCTGACTGGAATGAGACAAAATGTGAGAGTAGTTTTGATTTGCATTTCTCTAATTGCCAGAGATGTTGAACAATTTTTCATGTTTGTTGATCTATTGTATTTCTTCTTCTGTAAAGTATCTTTAATCAGAAATTTGAAAGACGTTTCATTTCTTTCATAAATAAGGTTCAGTCTACAAGCTTTACTTAAAGGAGTTAATAAACACACACCCACAGATACACATACCTCTCAGCATCAAATCCTGGTTTGTTTATATAGGCTCACATTTTCATTTCTTCTTTATATAGAAGTCATCATATGGCAAGGTTTTTAATGTGAAACACACTTCTCTTCTAATTCTAAAGATGAGCAATCAGGAGGTGACTTATTCAACCCTGAGATTTCTTCAGTCTCCTTCAGAATCACCGAGTAGATCAAGGAGTGATTCTACTCAGAGTCCTAGAAAAGCTGTTGACAAAGGTATATATTTAAGCATCTAAATTAATGTTTATTGTGAATTGCCCAAATTTTGCAATTTGAATAAAAATTCTATTTGCACTTCTGGTTGTCTGCTGGTAATATGAACCATAAGTAGGATAGAGTTGTAGAATGAAGTCTTTAAAAAATTTTGTGACAATGGGAAAATGAGTAAATATTTTTGAATTTGAGAAACTAATAGGATGTTTTGATTCAAATTGGACCAAAAAAATTTATGAGGGCGTTAAAAGTAAAGGACATACTGAAGTCTGAAGAAACATTGAATTTTCTAGAGAAATAAAATTCTTAGAGAAATGAAAAGCTTATGTTAGGAGTGATATTTTCACTCAGACAAAAGATATTTTAGGTATCTTAAATAGTTACCAAACTTTAATGGTAATGAAGCAGCAAAAATTTTCAAATCAGGGAGGAGTTCTAATTTTTTGATTCTGTATTTCTATTCTCCTTTCAAATATTGTCAAAATTAAACTCTAAGTTGAAAACTTACTTCTAAGACTTAGTGATTATCAGAGATACAGGCTTCAGATACCAAGGACTTCAAAAGCATAAGAGTAAATATAGTATTGCCTAGAGAAAAAGATAATTGATGAAAGAAAACAGAAAGTTGATTTCTAGAAATTCCTTTAAGTGTGGCCCTCTATCCAATTTGAGCTTCAGAGTATTCACTTTTGGCTATTAATTTATCAAAACTACTGACTTGGGGCTGGGGATGTGGCTCAAGCGGTAGCGCGCTGGCCTGGCATGCGTGTGGCCCGGGTTCGATCCTTAGCACCACATACAAAGATGTGTGTCTGCCGAAACTAAAAAATAAATATTAAAAAGAAATTTTTAAAAACTACTGACTTATCTTTCTCTCCTCTACATGATTGTTTATGATCACAAGGACTGGGAGTACACATCAACTTGGGGTCTTCTATATGAATTGTGTCTATTGCCTTTGGTGTTTTTGTAAGGGATGTGCTTTTAAAATCCTATAGAACTGTTCCTACATGCAGGATTTATACAATTGGCATGTCAAGAAACCTAAAACTTGAAAATTGTAATTCCTAGATTACAATTTAAATCAACTTGTATAATATGTTTTTGAAAAAATTTTTAGTTCCTTTTTTCATATGGTCTCCCACATTAAGGTTAGTAGTGGGCCATAGCTTTTTCTGTGATGCTTATTTTCTTCTTTTTTCATTTAAAGGGTTTTCTGTGCCCTGGAACTTTATTGCAATGACTCTTGGAATTTTCTGTTTACTTTTGTTGATGACAGTCATAGTGTTGGTGATCAAGAGTGAGTAACTGAAATCCATTTTTCTTAATCTGAGTACTGAGCTTTAGACACTAATTGTACAGACTTTAACATGCTTCATCCATTAGTTCCTGTCTGTAGTCAGGGAAAGACTTAGGTGGTTCTGAACTTTGAGTGAGGCTTTTTTTCCTGGACATATTGCAGTGCCATTTTAATATTACTTACCTATTCCATGGACTCTGAGGCTGTGGTGAGCTGTACACTTAATCTGATACATGGTCATATTTCTTCTGGTAGAGGATTGAGTGAAATTCTGCTATGGTTTTCAGGTTATCATGAACCTGAGGTAAACATTTTTGAGAAGTAGCTGTTCAAAAGAAATTATAGCTTTTTCTTCTGATAATATAATTAGGAAATAGCTTATTAAAAAATCTGTATGTCGATGTTAAATGATCTTGAATTTAAACTTTATCTTTTTTTAAAAATTCTGTCTTATCTTTAGAAAAAATCATTGATATATTATTCTTAGATAAAATTACATATCCCAATATTATTTTCTTGATCCTATGGGCATTCCCATCTGCTTCAGTAATAGTTATGCCACCTCCTCATGTTTCTTAGTTCAGATTTTCATACTCAAAAGATGTATTAAATATTGACTGATTGATTTTTACTTTGCTACTTATTTATTAAAAATGAACTAAACTGAAAAGTAAGGTGTTATCAAAATTTTATTCACATAGCTTATTTCTTATTTTACATTAAAGTTGCTAATACTGAGAAATTTGATGATTCCATTTCTATGATCAATTCACTGAGGTGTTACTTTCTAAATGTCAAATTACTAATATGAGTTGATTGTCAAAATGAAGCTTTTCTTTTGGCTTAAATTTCAATGTTTATTCATTATGAATACTTTTTTGTATTACATCTATGCTGTTAATTTTAGTTTTTCAGTGTGTTCAAGAAAAACATGACCAGCAGGAAATTCTAAGAAACTTCAGCAAAGAGTGCAACATTACGAAAAATGACTACTACTTAAAGGAACAAGTTTGGATAAATAAGTCTTTAGAATATGATAGTCTCAAAAATAAAACCCTTCATTTGGAATCAAATCATGAGAACAAATGTCGTAAGAAAATTGAGATCTATTCAGAATTTTTGCAAAATAAAGGTATGGAAGAAATCTTAATTTAAATTATTATTTAAATAATATTATTTAAATAATTGCACTATTTCTTTTCCTTCAGAAGCTTTGAAATCTAATAAACTGGGTTATAATACTAGTGATCTCTGGGCCTACTAGAAAAAAATTTGATTTGTCCCTCTTAGATATGATGTAGGTATTTGGGTGTGCTTATTTCAAGTATAGGGTTGGGGCCCCCAGAAGCTATGCTTGGATTAGTAAGACCCTATATAGTGTCCCCAATTCAATTGCTATTCTTAAATTCCTACTCCTTTCAGAAGGTGAAAATATGTCAGTTACCCTGAAAATTCAGAGCACTTGGTTCCTGCAGGAAAATCAGACTCCTACTCTGTTGCTAACATTGGATATGGAGGCTGTCATTAAAAGTATACTTAGGCAAAAATGGGCTCAAGGACTTTTATTTGGATGCTATTTTAAAAATAATTTTTGTGTATATATGTGTTTTCATTCTGCTATGGCTTCATATATTTGGTAGGTAGATTTATGACCAGTGTAAATACTTATTACCTGCAGTATATCGGCAAGATTTTCCATATAGTTGATGTTTGTGCAATTCTGTGATAATGCCATCAAAACACCCAAGAGATACAAATGTTAAATTTCATGCAGTAAATTGTTACCTTGCATAATGACCTGATTATCTTGAATTGAGTTGATTAATCAACAAGTATTAAATATTTACTTAGGATTTAGAGTTTATAAAGACCTTTTTCATGTGTAATCTCACTTTAGTATTGTGGGATTTACTGTCTCTTATTAAAGGATGAATACTATTTACAAATTCCATACATTATGACATAAATAAGAGAAAAAGAAAAAGTTACAAAAAATGTTTCTCATATTTAGACGTCATTCCAGAATTCAGCATTCTTATCTGTTAGATATATTGTATAAGTAGAATCATGAAATATTATTTTTCTTCTGTGATTGGCTGATTTTACTCAGCATAACATCCTCAAGGATCGTCATATTGTCACACAGAAAGAATTTACTTCTTTTTAGAAGTTGAACAATAAATTTACATATGTAAACATATTATTTTAGGTTGTTTTCATCTTGGCTGTTGTAAATAGTACTGCATTGAACATGAGAGTGTGGATATCTCTTGGTATTCCAGAATTTTGGTGATCCTCGTATTGTCATTACTGATAGCAATGAGATATTATTTAGATATAGAAGACTGATAAATGTATTTCTCTAGTTGACAGACTACCAGATAATAAATTTAAAGTTTCACATTACGTGTTGTAGGTTTGATCTGTGAAGGCCACTGGTCCTGTTATGGAGTAAAATGTTATCATTTTACCAAGAACCAAGAAAAATGGGAGGGATGTAAGAAAACTTGCCAAGACAATGGATTATCCCTTTTGAAGATAAATGATAAAGATGAACAGGTATTGTGAACTCACATCCACTTTTTTTTTTCTCTTGGATGCTGTCACTTACCCTTGGATCTAAGATACTGAGGACAGGCAGGAGTTCATAAGGAGGGACCTTCACCTATTCTTTGTGTTCTGTCTGTTATGTGGGCAAAAATTATATAATTGAAAGTTTCCTGGGAGATTCTTACCTGCTAAGAAGTATATAAACCTGCTATCTATCTGTATAATCTATAAGTATTCTATCTGTATAATCTATTATGATAACCATTATTATTAAGGATGCAGTTTGGTTCTTTGCAGTCATTTCCCTTTCAAAGGAGTCTGTAAGAGTAACAGAAAAATATTCCCTTCCCTGAATGATATTTAACCCTTTGATAAATTAAAGCCTGAACCAACAGTTATTTATCCCTATAAAATGGCAACTTTGGGGTGGGGATATAGCTTGGTTGGTAGAGTGTTTAATAAATAAAAACTTAGAACTGCCTGGAATCAAATTTATCTCTACCACTTACTAGGTGAGTGACTTCAGGTAAATGACTTAACCTCTCTGGCTGCCTTGAAAACCGGAGATGATTTTTTAAAAAATATTTATTGTT